TTCTTTTCTATGAAGATAAATCAGAGGCATGTTTCTTACAGATTCAATCCAGCTACACTGGCTCCAGAGGCTGTACTCTTAATACCGTATCAAAATGTTTCTAGAGAATAGATGATATACTTGTAAAGAGTTGGGATTTTTGAGGCAGCAGACTAGAGTCAAGCCTACACTCTGCTGCTTGTCAGGGAGAAATGACTTACCCTCTCTAGGCCTCTGGGTCCTTACTGGTAAGGCAGACAGGGTAATAGAAGCATGAAATGCAATGCTACACCTCCTCAATGGCCACAGTTGGTTTGCTCGCTGAGGAGCTCCAGACCTGCCCTGTCCACCACCATGACAACCTTCCTTGTGTCTTCTCATTTTTCCAGGAAGCTGAAGGAGAAGAGGCCCCGTGGTCCACAGCGTACCCACCCCAATTTCTTCTGGCCGGGTCACCTCCTGGACAAACTGCAGCTCTACCTGCCCTCTGTGACTGTGGACCGGAGCCTGATGCTATTCAGTTGTGTCCAACAGCAGCCCCCAGTTTACCCAGGCACCTACCACTCCCACCTGTGATGGCCCATTAGGAATAGGGACGACATGACCTGTGTTTATTTCGATGCCCCCAAGGTCTACTACATCGACCAGAGTGGCCCAGGTGATGTCAGACCCAGCCATCCTGGGCTGGACACCAGTGCAGCTAGCAGCCTAGAGCCATAGACACCAGGAGTGTCAAAGAGCCAAACAGAAGAAATCATTTCAGTGGGATGGCCTGGGGCTGGTGTATCCAGAGTCAAGTGGTGTCCAGGGTCTCAGAGGCAGATGTGTCCAGGGAAAGATGAGCAGTTTTGGGGTGTTTCCCTGGCCTTTTGAAATAAACCAGACTGGAGTTTCTATCATGTCACCTGTGGTCCACCTGATGTGATTTCTTGCTCAGAAGCTGTGGCTAGGAGGGTGTTTGGAAAAGTTGGGGTCCTGAGCCTGAGGTAATACAACAGGCACACTCCCTGAGATGTTGACGGATGCCTGCCTGGCACCTCCAGCCTCTGATCCTGGGATCTCAGTGTCCAGGCGGAAGCAGCAGGCAGTGTTGGGAACCCTGTGCCTTCCTCTAAGACATGCCATGTCTCTCATCCCCCCAAAAAACTGAGCCATTGGATTACTTCTTCCAAATCTCCCGAGTCTTTTGCAATTGGAAGCATGCGCTCTGGTTCATGAGCTCTTTGTCTGATTAACCCATCTGATGCTGTCAAAACCTTTTCCTTCATCATATGGGCAGCTATTTTTTAAAAAATAATTATTTTTTATTGATTTCAGAGAGGAAGGGAGAGGGAGAGAGAGATGGAAACATCAATGATGAGAGAGAATCATTGATTGGCAGCCTCCTGAACGCTCTCCACTGGGGATCAAGCCCCCAACTCAGACATGTTCCCTGACCACATGACGGAATCCAACAGGGTCCCCCTGGTTCATAGGTAGATATGGGCAGCTATTAACACAGTGCTCCCTGCTCTGCATCCCATGTGACTCCCCACAGACCACAGGATAAGCAGGATTCATGAGGTGTGATTCACAAAGGGGTTTTAGTCTCAACTCCGTTTGCCAAATATGTGGCCTGGAACAAGACATTTGACTTCACATTTCACGGTTCACTTCTTTGGGTCTCAAACGCCCCTACCCTTCACAATCAAAGTCTCATGACGGAGTTGGCAACACTCACTCTCCTCTCTTCTTACTTCTCATTCAGTTAAGAGCACATCCAGTTTAGCACCTGTCTCCATCTGGCGCCTGGAATTACTCCTATCAAAATCACTAATAACATCAGTATTGTGGGATCCAGGGACATTTTTTTCTTCTGAAATTTGACTTTTGCACTAATCTTTTTTTTTTTTTAAGTCAGTTATGATCTTTCTGAGTCATTGATATGTTTATTTTTATTTTAAATATATTTTATTGATTTTTTACAGAGAGGAAGGGAGAGAGATAGAGAGTTAGAAATATCGATTAGAGAAACATCGATCAGCTGCCTCCTGCACACCTCCTACTGGGGATGTGCCCGCAACCAAGGTACATGCCCCTGACCGGAATCGAACCTGGGACCTTTCAGTCCGCAGGCCGACGCTCTATCCACTGAGCCAAACCGGTTTCGGCTTTTTTTTTTTTTTTAATATTTGTTTTTATTGATTCCAGAGAGGAAGGGAGAGATAGAAACATCAATGATTAGAGAGAATCATTGATCGGCTGCCTCCAGCACGCCCCCTACTGGGGATCGAGCCCACAACCTGGGCATATGCCCTTGACCGGAATCTAACCTGGGACCCTTCAGTTCACGGCCAACGCTCTATCCACTGAGCAAAACCAGCTAGGACTCGCGCTAATCTTAAAACCAAAAACTAAACAAAACAAACCAAGAATAACAATAAAAAACTCGGCCATTTTAGCCTAATGGTTAGAAGTGTGGATTTTGTCAAACCCCCAAATGTCACTTTCTACATGTGTTAAGTAATATATTTACTTCGTAGAATGGTGGAAAGGATAGTAAATCCCATTGCATGACAGCTATTTTACGTAGTCTCGTTTTTTACAATAACTCACGTGAGAGCATATTATGAAGTCTTTATTTTGCTTCCTCCTGGCCAACAAGAGGCGCGCTTTGGAGCAGAAGAAACCAGGGCGAAAATAATAAAAAAAGCGGGAGGCGGAAGAGCAGCTTCAACTTCTGGCGGAAGTGGATGCCCCCACCAGGTCTTAGAAGCTCAGAAAGAATTCCAAATATCCTACGTAGTCCCAACAGCAGGTCTGAACATTTTCAGTACTATTCCTAGACATTAATGTCTATTAAAACACAGGTAACCTTCAGCTTTTTCCAGTGTTATTTCTCTGACGTTTATTTTTGAACCACCAAGAACCGGAAGTGCCCTCCTTTTCCCTGCCAGGACCCAGAGGTCACGTCCCATCAGGCCTCGCGCGGCACCTTCCCCTCTCTTCCTCGGCGCTGCCTACGGAGGTGGCAGCCATCTCCTAGCTGGTGAGTTTTAATCGTCCGTCATCTGTGTCTCCGCGTTGTCCATCAGGCCCAGTCGCTCCCTGGTGAGGAAGCTTGTCCTTCCGAGGGGTCGTCTCACTGGGTGTATTCCTTGCCGCCTGGCTGGATCGCCTACAGGAATACAACGAGGTGACCCGGCCGGTGTTGGAGGTTGGCTTGCCGGGGACGTTTGCTCGTACGGCGGCCGCTTGGGGTCATTCTGAGCTGCGGGCAGCTTGTTTGAGCCGTGGGGGCGCGCGGCGCCGATTGAAACCAAACGGAGGGGGCCCTCGCTGGGCGTGGAGCGATCCGGGGTTTGCAGCCGAGTAGTTAGGTTACTTCAGTAGATCAGCGATATCCGTCCATGTGTTAAAAACCCTATTTCTGTTGCCCGACGTCCCTTCCCCATAGTTTCTGGCCCTGGGTTTGCTGCGGCGGAACTGCCAAAAGGAAAAAAAGAGAAAGAAACCGAGTTGTCGTGTCGACTCGTTCAGTTACCAAAAATTGGGTTATCGGGTCAGGATGTCTGGGAATCTGTGTCGTTGTCTTGGAGGAAATCAGTGGGAGAGGGCTGTGCATTTACTACCTACTGGGTGCGAGCAAATTGACACCTTGAGGAAGGTAACTTTTGAGTTGATCTCTAGGTAGGGAGGCATTTCAAAGGCCCGGGGGCGTTTTATTAGTGAACCTAGAGGTTTCTCTCTTCCAAACGCCTGCCCTCAGTCTGGGCACGGCACGCGTTCAGCGTGCATTAGTATCTCCGTTTTTATAGGTGAGACAACAGAGTCCAGTTCACGTGGTTTGTCAAATGCCGGCATAACTAAAAGGAGATGGGACCGGCTGGGGGTTGGGACACGGGCGGAGGATTTGCTGCCCCTTTGCCTGCTGAGGACGTTTGGGGGCCAGTTTGTTTGGGGCCGGCCATTGGGATTCTTTCTTGGCTTTGAGTGGGCGAGGCGACGCCTAACCTCCCAGGACCGCGTCTGGCGAGTTGGCTAATATTCTGCCAGCTTCGGAGACGGGAGGGAAAACAGCCTGGCAGAGGTACCCATTCCATTCCCTGCTTGCTCCGTAGCTGGTGAGTGGAAGGCACTCTGCGACAGCGCTGAGGCCCCGGGCAAGGACAGCCTCTTGTCAGGACTGTGCTTTGTTTCAAGGTACCTGTCTCTTTTAAAGGCACCATGGCCGCCCTCAGACCCCTCGTGAAACCCAAGATTGTCAAAAAGAGGACCAAGAAGTTCATCCGGCACCAGTCAGACCGATATGTCAAAATTAAGGTATGTGGTCCTGGGGTGGAAGTGGAAGTAGGTGTTGGGGTGAAGAAAAGGGTTCCTGAATCAGCTACGATTGGGTTTCTGACATCACTTAGAAGATTACCTTTGGCAGGTGAATCAACAAGTCTGGTTGGTGGAAGAGCTCACCGTAGAAACCTAGGCATTTATTGGAACTCAGCCTCTTGAAGTGTAAATTGGAGTTTAAGTGACACACTTGGCTGTTTTGAGGTGTCCAGAGGCTTATTTCAGGTGGCCTTGATGGTATGAGGGGTAATTATCCTTATTTTATAGATGAGAAAACTTAAGTCTTGAGGGCATTGTGGGAACCCATTTTCTTCATCTTAACTGTCCACAATCGCCTCATGTTCCATTGGTGTGTAATATGCTTTTCCTTTGCTTAGGAGGAGTGTGGATGTGGGTCCACAGGAGCCCTTTATTTCTTCACTAAAATATATATAAAGAAATAGTGAAAGCCTGTAACCCAAAGACTGCTACTGTTAGTTTTCATTTGGTGCCCTTTTTTCTTCCAAAAGGAAGAGTTGGCAGTCTGCATAGACACTAACCCATCTATGTGTTGTTGTTTTTCAGCGGAACTGGCGGAAACCCAGAGGCATTGACAATAGGGTGCGTAGAAGATTCAAGGGCCAGATCTTGATGCCCAACATTGGTTATGGGAGCAACAAGAAAACAAAGCACATGCTGCCCAGTGGCTTTCGGAAGTTCCTGGTCCATAACGTCAAGGAGCTTGAAGTGCTGCTGATGTGCAATAAGTGAGTTGGATCCCCCCTCTGGGTTCAGATGCCAAAGTATGCATCTGTGAGCATTTTTGGTAGGGGCTCTAGACCTTTCAAAATGCATGTGGAGTTGTATATTCTCCCAGGAGCTTAGTGAATGCTTCTTGGGGACTTTAAAATGTTTTGGGAGGTGGGGGGTCATGACGGCTTGTCCTGAAAAGTGTAGAGACCCAAAAAGAAGGACTTGAATGAACACTACAAACAATGCTGTGTCATTTGGGCGGTCATTTCCAGAACATTGCTTATTTATGTGAGGGGTAGCCTTAGACCTAAGGAGCACTTTAACTGTGGCCACAGGTATCTTCAGAATGTTAGGCTGTCTGATGTATAGAGAGTGTGATCAGAGGTAGGGGAAAGGAAGACTACAGGCAGAGGGCACTTAAACAATGTATAGATGCGAGAGTGAATTGAGGGGTCATAACATTGCTTTCTTGTTGTTGTAAGAATGACACTTGGTGAGCTCTGTGTGAGACTGGTTTGCTTAGGCCAAAACTAGGACAGTGAGTTGAGAAAATAATCCTCATGGGAAGACACAGGTAATAAAAATGAGTGAACCCATTTTTAAAGGATAATTCTTTATTGTTGAATGTATTACATGTCCCCTTTTTCCCCATTGTCCCCCTCCAGCTCGCCCCTGCCCCCCTTCAGCACCCTATTGTCTGTGTCCATGGGTTATGCACAGACAATACAAGATCTTTGTGAAACCACATTTGGTTGAGTTTCTAGGTTGGAGATTTGACCAGGGATGGAAATACTGGAAATTGTCTTTAGAAAGGATGAGCATAGGGATTAATAATGGTGGAGGCCCAATCTAATACCTGTTGTGTAGCAAAAAATGAATGTAGTGCAAATGTTGCAGTATCAGGAACCATGATTTTTAATCCACAAGTTTCATTTCTGGGCATTTATGCTTAAATAAAATGCAGGGAAACTATAAGCTGATCATTGCAACAGTAAATGAACAATTTGTAAATATAATACATAAATTAAAAAATTGTCACGTATGGAAAATGCCCAAGCACCAGGGAAAGTATTTAAAATATGTACAGTGTGATTATTAAATACATATGGATAAGGTGAGTTTATCCATATGGTGAGTTTTTGAAAATATGGAGGGGAAAGCCCAAAAGTGTAATACAATTTAAGTCTTCTTGAAAACAAAGATTATGGAAACATTTTAAAATGTAGCTACTTTGCGATTGAGTAGACTCCTTTATATAAAACAAAAAATGCTTTGTTCTGCTTGTCTCACTGTTAACCTAATTTAAACTGTACATACTCATTGCCTTATTTAATCACTCCTTAGTCTTCTCTTTGCTGAAATTCCAGAGGTAGTATCTTTTCTTAATCCACCTTTTATGGCTTCAGATCACCTCCTTACTGAAATTTGTTCATTAGACCAATTTGTTATATGTTTAGCTGTGTGGAATGGATAAGACCAGTTTTTGGTATACACATGCTCAGGCAATGTTAGGTATTGCTACTCACTGGGTGGCTTGAGCCAATGTTAGTTTCAACTTGAATTTTATCTGCAGCAAACAAGTAAAATATTTATGGTCTGGATCAGGGAGCTCCCTTGGATTAATTACACTGTTGGAGTCTGCTCTGCTACTTGCAGTTCCAAAACTTTCAGGAGCAAGTCCAAGCTCCCTGAGACTTCCCTGAGTTGGGCAGTTTGGCCAGAAAGACTGAGGGAGAATCTCAACCTGGGGTCTGGGGCTGAGCCATCCTGGCCCTGTTCATTATTGAATATGTGATTTGGAAATTCATTTCCACCTCGTCTGTAAAATGGAAGTGATAACCTGGATTACATGGCTTCTGTGAGGATTAAATAAGCGGGTAGTGAGGGTGCTTTTTGTTGCAGCTTTGAGAGCTTTGCGAGTAGTGTGGAATTTGGGGTGTGCAGGTGTTGTCATTCAGCAATCATTTACCAGCACCCTCTCTGCCCAGTGCTGTGGCTCTGGAGGTGAAGTGACCAACGCTGTTGCCTTCCCAGTGGAACACACAATGCTCTGGGCTGGCTTGCTCCTTACCCACTTATGGATTCTCTTCCAGATCTTACTGTGCTGAGATTGCTCACAACGTCTCCTCAAAGAACCGCAAAGCCATTGTGGAAAGAGCAGCCCAGCTGGCCATCAGAGTCACCAATCCCAATGCCAGGCTGCGCAGCGAAGAAAACGAATAGACAGATTGTGTACACATTGCATTTGTGTTAATAAAATCATAAAATTCTGCCATCTGGCATTTCCGTCCTTGGTTTTACTCTCCAGTTTCTGACAGCTTGTCAGAGATTGTTCTTTTGCCTGTTAATGCTCTGAAATCTGCCATTTGGAAGGATACTCGATGCTTCACAAGGCACTGGCCTTAGGTGCCCAGACCAGCCTTGGTCAGCTCCAGTTAGGGCTGGGGAAGACTTGGCCCTCAGACCAGGGTTCTGAGACTTCATTGAAGGACCTTGCAGCTCAGAGGAAGCTGTTCTTAGTCTCACTTTTTGTAAAGTTGAATAAATTATTCTGTGGTTCTTGTGGAGATTGAGAAAATGCATGAAAGGATCCAGGTAAATTTCTTCATTAAATTCTTATTCGGTGTTGAAATAGCACAATATAGCTTCTGTCCAAAAATACAAAACGGGATGACACATCCCTCTATAATGGTCAGCCCAGGATGCTTGAAGGTGGCTTTCAATTTCCCTTATGTAAACTCCCCCAACTCGCTGCTTCAGGCATAATTTCCATAGGTGTGGGATCCTTAACGTGATAATTGGGACTCAGAATTTAACACTCCTTTACAACTACAGTAGGTAGGATCTAACTTTAATTCTAAGGTTATGCTATGCCAAGAAAGTATAGGTCACATGGGATATGGCACGTGGTACTCTAGTACAGCTATTTCCAACCTTTCTCATCTCGGCACAAACTAAAATGTGACACCAAATATCTTTGCTGATCTGGCCAAAATAGGTATAATAGAGTAGTGGTGTGTTTCTTCACCATCCTGGTCAACTGAGCCAGGAATAATACATTAAAATGTTCCTGGTGTGTTAGCCATGCCTGGATTTAAGGCTCGCTCTTTGAGTAGATAAATGTCTTACAGGTTGACTGCTTCCTGTTCAAAACCTAATATGAAACATTTGTGAATTAAATTATTGGTCATTTCCATGACTTCTTTCAATTGATTTGGGACACGTACTGATAAGTGGTTTGACTACTGACGACGAATTGTGCAGAGAAAATTGTAGTTTAGGATCTCCTTTATTAACCTGTTTTCTGATAGCACAGAAAATTCTTTGGCCTGTCGCTTATTTCTATAAGAAAGTTTCTAAAAAGGACACATTGAAAACTTTAGAAGGGCATAAACCAACTGGTTGCCTAGGCGGGGTGACATGAAAGATGGTTTGTACTTGCTAGTAGTGCTTTGCTGTTTACCAGTTTATTTCATAGAGAGTTGAAATTAGAAAAACACGTCTGGTCTAATTCACTACCCACACTCTTACCCCCTGCAAGAAAACCTTTCTGATTTATCACTGCCTGTTAGAATTTTTTTTTTAATTCTAAAAATGTGAATAACTCAGAAGTATCTGAGTTTTTAAGATGCCCAGCCAAAGCACTAATTCTTGGTATTATCAATTTGATCAAATGAATTGTAAAGTGAGAGTGGTGTGACATACGGGGCACCAGTGGGAAGAAAGGCCAGCCTGCTGCCTCCTAACCTCACAGCTGTGAGCACAAGAGTAAATACTAAGTATTTTGTGAAGCAGTGCCTCCCCAGCTTGAAAGAACTAGAACAGTGTGGAGTCGCATCAACCTTGTGATGTGACTTCACATTGAAAAATTCCACCCCGGTGCTTTGAATGGCTGTCCTGAGTTAAAGGGCCCAACTGTTGGCAGCCTTACAGCTAGCTTCAGGTTGGGGAACCTATGAGTTAGGGTCCCTGGAGAAGGCACTGTAAACCCCAAAGAGGAACAGGAGGGCCCCCAGGGAGATGAAAGTTTAGGAGTAAAAGCCAGTGGCCTTTGGTGGTGGGAGAGAGGCTGAGACCTCAGGCCTGGGTGGGCCCCTTCTCTTGAGGAAGGGCCCATCTAGGAGGTGGGGTAAGACTAGCTGAGCTCCATTGAATCTGTGTTGGGTGCTGAGGCAGAATCCTTCTGGATGCTCTCAAAGAGGGTGGCAAGTTCCGGGTTGGATCTGATTTGGGAAGAGAAGTCAGCCATGATGGGGCTTTTCCCCACTTCTGGGATGGTCAGCAAGGCAGCCACTGCCCTCATGGCAGAGCGCTTCAGTTCATCTTGCTTCTCAAACTCCTGCTTGACAGAACCAGCTTTGACCTAAAGTGGGAAACAACGAGCCATCCTTTATTGAGCCTGTCCTTGCACCACAGTCTCTGGCTTCCTCTGCACCACCTATGGCACACTCCCAATCTATGGTTCCAGCCTCCTGAGGGTTCCCTCCACCTCTGGGCTCTGGGCTTTCTCATTCAAATCAGCTTCAAAATCACCTAAAGGGCCTCTGAGTAGCCAATCTTAATTACCTTTATTTTTTATAATAAGTCAAAGGTGGTGATTCATGTAAAGTGTTCACTTAACACTCCGGTGTGGGGTGAATTTCCCGCCAAAATATAAGATGGCTCTGTCTTTTGGTTTTGTTCCATCCACCAAAAGGGTGGATTACAAACAAATATTTGGTAATACGCAGTTACAATCGGCCCGAGTTTACACGTTTCCCACACTCCACCGCAAATCTATATGAACCGAGTTAAAGACGGCTCCCGCGGAATACGCGCAATTCACGCGAGCCGACTTAACTCGTTTCCCCCACTCCAAGTGTTAATCTTCCCCTGATTAGAAGTATTGGGCTGCGTCACTGAATGGATTACTGTCATCTGTCCATTTCTGTTACCTCATCCCCACCCTCTCCCATTTAGAGACTCTCAGAAATTCTCCAATGCTTACGGAATAAAGGCCCTCCGCGACTTACCCAGACAACACTAGTCTCTTACCCCTCAAGAATCTAATGGTCAAGAGCTCGGTAATAGGTTGGACGTCCTGGGTTCAAATGGCTCTGCCCTGTGAGAGCTGTGACCTCAGGTAGGAACTTTTTGTCCCTCACTTCTTACAGGGCTGCTGTGAGGATTAAAGGGCCTTGCAGGCTCATCCCCTTCTCTGAAACACTTAGCGCCAGATGTGCTTTTGAAATTCAGGAATTTGAGGGGTTTTAGAAAGGGATAGTATGCATATGTCAGGCGATAAATACCCTGTAATCAAATACACTAGTATTTCCTCCACTAAGTTCAGGAAAAAATGTAAGAATATTATGAATATCACAAAAAGGGAAATAAGGTCATAAACAGCCTGGTGCCCATTCAAGTTAAGTTTTGGTGCCAAACAAGTTACTACAGCCTTTTAGTTTGAGCTTTGTAGGATTCAGAATTGTGGATGAGGGATTGGGAACACGGATGTAACAAGTTCTCATCACTGTGCTCGACAAATAGCATCCTTTGTGCAACCAGACTGAGTGGCTTTCGGGCAGGCCTCGATGGAAGTGAGTGAAGGGTGTCCTGACCCTGCTATGCCTGCAGCTCCTTCCTGTGAACTGGGTTTTTCTCCAAGCAGTACGGTTCTAGTACACCAGAGATATTTGGCCACAGAGACTGTCAAGAGCTTGCAGTACCACTGTTTTCTTTGACTTTATACTAAGTATATGTTAAAAATAGAAATTTGCAAGTCAGGTTTCTATTAATAAGTTACCAATTTTATCTGTCTTATCCATATTAAAAATTTTTTTTGAAAAGGTGTTACTACTTGGAAATTACTGCTCTATGGGTGTCTCCTCTTTAAGCTCTGCCCTCTTTGTGATTAAGTCTTTTGCTCTTCCAAAACCCAAATTAGTTCTTCATTCAATAGGTATTTACTGGGTAATTTACCCCCTAGGTGTGCCAGGCTCTGTTCTCAACACGGCAGCTTTCCATGAAACCTTTTGCCCCGGATCCCTACGCTGGACCCTTGAGGCACTCCAGTCTAGCAGCAACTCTGCCCCATACCAATCAGTCAACAAATGATTTCTGTCTAAGAGTGCCTCAGTTTCCCAATTAGGATGTGAGAAGAGGGAGCCCATCATGTTCAATGTTGTGTCCCTAGTACCTTGCACAGGCCTGGAAATATTTAAAGAATGACAGAGACAGAACTGGGTTTGAATCCCAGCTCTGCAATTTACTAGCTGTGTAGCCTCAGCCAACAACTTGGCCTCTCCAAGCCTCTGTTCCCTGTGTATACAATGGTAAGAATAAGAAGTAATAAGAACTACTTCATAGGATGACGATGATTAAAATAAGCCCTCCCCACACCACCTGTATCTTAAGAGGTTCTTGGTAAATGGTAAATGATCAGCAGAGGGCCCACAGGGCTGGATAGGGGCTTACTTTGGCAATACAGGTGGCCCTGAGTGGCTCAATGAGCCGGTCCACCCTCTGCAGGACAGGCGCAGGACACAGGGTAGCCAATCGTGCGAGCATGATGAAGGTCAGCATCTGCCCAGGAGGAAGGAGACAGAGTACTTGGTGAAATGGCCCAGGACCACAAGAAGCAGGCCCTGGGGAAGAGCCGAGACTCAAGTCCAAACTTGAGCACTAATTCCCACTCACACCCCTGCCAGTGTCTGGTAACACCAACTATGCCAACTATACTTGATTGTCCTGAAGAGAATCAGATCAGAAGAGGCACCAGGTGTGTGTGTGGCGGGGAGGGGGGGCAGTTCTCAAGCTCAGATATACCAACTGGGCCAGGCAGGTACTGTTCATGGGTGAAGGGGGCCAGATGGGAACTGGGAAGGAGTAAGGAGTCTACACTCCAGACAGCAGCTACTAAGCTCCACTCTTTGTGGCTAGATGGGAATGTGGCCCAGACTTGACAGACTGTTTTCAAAAGAAACCCTGATTTTCATGTAAAATCTCTCAATTTTTTAATGTTGGCACCTGATTTAAACAAAAACTATGTGAGCCAGCCCTGGCCAGGTAGCTCAGTTGGTTAGAGTGCTGTTCTGAGACACCAAGGTTGTAGGTTCAATCTCTGGTCAGGGACAAGAATCAATCCATAAATGCACAAACAAGTGGACCAACAAATCAATCTCTCTCTCCCCCTGCCACCCTCTCTCTAAAATCAATCAATAAATAGAAAATAAAAACTTTATGAGCCAATTAACATGCCTACAGGCCTGGATTCAGCATGCAGGAGAATAATGATGACCTCTTTGAAAATGTTAAAATCCTCACAAACGATACACAATATAAAGGGAGGTTGTTTGGAAATCAATATGTCCTGCCCATCCCCACCAGCTATCTACCCTGCCCTCCACATGCCCCACAGCAAAGGAAGAAGACGGGCAGAACAGCAAAAAGCTATGACCCAGGGCTCCTCCACCTCCTGCCTTGTGCCCTTGAACTAGCCAGGTCTCTGGTTTCTCCCCTGCAAACTGGGCATCTAAACTCACTCTCCAAAGGTTAATGTGAAGGCTTGATGAGATAACCGTAGATTGCTCAATAGATGTCTCACCCACCCTCCTCAGTACCAATAGGGGCTGGGTAGGAAATATGGATTTCAAACGACCACCCTTTATACTGTGTATCATTTACAGGGACTTTACCATTTTTTAAAAAATATATATTTTATTGATTTTTTACAGAGAGGAAGGGAGAGGGATAGAGAGTTAGAAACATCGATCAGCTGCCTCCTGCACAACCCCTATTGGGGATGTGCCCGCAACCAAGGTACATACCCTTGACTGGAATTGAACCTGGGACCCTTCAGTCCTCAGGCCGACGCTCTATCCACTGAGCCAAACCAGTCAGGGCAACTTTACCATTTTTAAAAGCAGTCACCATTATTCTCCAGGCTGAAGCCAGGTCTGTAAATGTATCTAACTGGCTCAAACAATTCTTTTGTTTGTTTTTGGGTTTTTTAAATCATCCCAAAGTTTGCACTAATGCCCAGGCCTTGTCCTGTGCTCAAGAAGGGCATTGGCCAGAATGGGAGGTCAGGCAAGAAGGGCATTGAAGGTCAGGCAAGAAGAACATTGGCCAGATGAGAGAGAAGAACAAAGATTTGCTCAAGCATGGGAAAAACCCATGAAAAATAACTCACTTTTATTACTCAGTGGGTCTTGGCCATCTTTCACATCAGTACACAGACAGAGAACTAGCTCACTCTTTAATGTGGCTAGGATTCCATGACTGGAGGTACCCAGTTTATGGAGCCAGTTCTCCATAAGTGGACATTTAGGTAGCTGCCAGATTTTCCCAATTACCAGAAATCAGTGAAGAAAAATCTTGAACATAAAACTCTGAACATGTGCAGGAATCAGTCCAGAGGCTCTTGGACATGGAAAAGCTTTTGTTCTAGTTATTGCCAACCATCCAAAGAGCTTGCCAGTGTAGACTCCCACCAAAGGTGTTTGAGACATGGGTTCTCTTTTTATATATATATTTTATTGATTTCAGAGAGGAAGAGGGAGATAGAAACATCAATAATGAGAGAGAATCATTGATCGGCTGCTTCCTGCATGCCCCCTACTGGGGATGGAGCCCGCAACTTGGGTATGTGCCCTTGACCAGAATCGAACCCAGGACCCTTCAGTCCGCAAGCCAATGCTCTATCCACTGAGCCAAACCAGCTAGGGCAAGACATAGGTTCTTATCAGAAAAAAAAAATACAGCTATTGTCATGGGGGTTCCTGGGGTAGGAAGTGAGGGACAAACAAGCAGTGGGCCCAGTAGTGCCCTGGCTGTCCCCTTGGTATAGGGTGGGCATGGGTCTGGCAGGGGGCTCATCCTACCCGGATATCATAGTGGTCCTTCAGGCCGTCCTCCACGTGGTTCAGGAACTCGCAGATGACCAGCTGGCCCAGGCAGCTCTCGAGCAGTGAGTACATGCACTCGAAGGCTGCCTTCCGCACATCCAGCCCGTCATCCACTGTGTGCTTAAAGGGCCCCATCTCCACCTGCAGGAGGGAAGGATATGACCCCAAAGTGTAAGAACACCTTCCCTAGTTCCTGCTGCATTCCCCACTCCTGTTGCTCATTTTACCTGTGAGGAGAAACTGAGGCTCAGAGTGGATTAAGTTGCCCTGGCAGGGTCACACAGCTGGAAGTGGAGGGTCCAGACTTGACCTAGGCCATGGAGCCTGGTCATCTGATGAGCTGGACCCTAATCCCACCAGTCAGGCCCAAAGCTCCCGCTCAGTCCTCCCGCAGCCTCACCTCTCGGATAAGGTCTCGGCGGATCTTTGTCTCCCGGTAGAGGAGGGGCAGGATGTCAGTCAGCAGGTCCCGGACCAAGGAGGGCTTATTGTGCACGGCTGAGTTGAAGAAAGTCAGAGTGGCCCTGCGCACGTTCAGGTCTGGGTCCTGCAAACTCTCCATGAACTCTCCTGGCGGAAAAATGAGAGGGGATGTGAGAGATGGCACAGCCAAGACACAAACCATCTCTACCCCCACATCAGTTACCTGGTCCATGTGAGTCATGCATACCTGGCTGAATGGGGGTGAACATGTTCTGAGCATCTACTTTGCACAACAAGCCTTCGAAGTCCAGATAAGAATGTGGACTCAAGTCTGGCCTGGGTTCAAATCCAAATTCTACCACTTCCTAATTCTGGGACCTTGGAGAGCCTCGATGTCCTCATCTGTAAAATGGGGATAATAGCAGTATCTATTCTGTAGCAATGTGTTTATGATTTAAAATGTGGTAGTATATAAAGCACATAGCAGAGGCCCTGGCACAAGGCCAACATCCTACAAATATTAACCTGATATTATTATAGATGAGGCTCCTGAAGGTCAGAGAGGTGAATAAACTTACACAAAGTCATACTTTTCTGAGTAAATCTTTTTGTATAGTTTAGACTTCTCTGTATTAATGTTTTATATATTCAATAAATAAATAAAATCAAGAACTGGTGCCTGGCCTATGTGGCTTAGTGGTTGAGCATCGACACATGAATCATGAGGTCACCAGTTCAATTCGTGGTCAGGGCATATGCCCAGGTTGTGGGCTCAATCCCCAGTAGGGGAGGTGCAGGAGGCAGCCAATCAGTGATTCTCTCTCATCATTGGTGTTTCTATCTCTTTCTCCCTCTCCCTTCCTCTCTGAAATCAATAAAAGTATATTTAAAAATATATATAAAACAACAACAACAACAAAGACCCATAGGCTTGGAGCTCTGAAGAAGTGAGCCTGGTCCTGCAGAGGCTCCAAGGAAGGAGGGCTAAGCCTCCTCCCAACGAAGGCTCCTCGAGCTCCTCAGGCCAGAAGGTCCCTCGGACAGGGACAAGTTAGGGATCCACTCTCCCTTGCCATGGTGCAGCCCTGCCCAGTTAGGTGCCCACTGAAGCCAATGTGTTAGAGAGGTTGGTAGTGTTCATGGAACACTTTCTCCCTCAATTATACATGGAGTCTCCAAAACTTTAGAACTGCAGATTTCCATGTCCCCATTTTACAGATAAGGAAACTGAGGCTCAGAGGTGAGAAGGGGCATGTTGGGCTCACTCAGCAACTCAGTGGCAGCAAAGGAGTTTGAACCCAGGCCCTGCTGCTGTTATGATGATGAGGTGGTCTCCTGGTTTCCAACCCCCTTCAGTTAATGAGTAAGAAAAATCAGCTAAAGCTCAAGGGCTGTGTAGGGGACTGAACGGGGCTGGAGACAGAGGGGATGCTCTACTCACTAATGAAACTCTTTAGGAGGGGGTCAATGGGATGGGGCTGGTCCAAGATGAGGAACTTGACCGCTGTGATGACAGTGCTCCGGGTGTTCGGCTGACCTGCAGGACAAGAGACAGTGGCTTGATGAGGGGCAGGGCCAGTCCTGGAACCTACAGGTGAGAAGGTGCCAAGACTCGCCTCTGCCTCCGTGGAAGACAAAAATATACCTCTCCCCACCTGAAACTCCCCAAAATCTTTGGGAAAGTCAATGCTACCATTTCCCTTGGCAGCCTAGAATCTTCCCGATTCTTCCTGCTGCGGCTGAGAGAGTAAAACTGTCAGTTTGCAGGTAACCACATTGCCAGATACAGAGAACCAAGAACTCAAGAGCAGCCCAGCCGGTGTTGCTCAGTGGTTGAGTGTCGATCTTGGGTTTGATTCCTGGTCAGGGCACATGCCCGGGTTCCTGACTTGATCCCCAGTAGGGGGCGTGCAGGAGGCAGTCAATCAATGATGTTTCTCTCTCATTGATGTTTCTACCTCTCTATCCCTCTCCCTTCCTCTCTGAAATCAATAAAAACATTTTTTTTTAAAGGCAGAGAAGTGAGATGGAGACCAGAGTGAGGGGCTTACAGGGAGAGACAACTGGGAAGTCCCGTGAACTCGCTAGAAGCAGGCCACCAGTTTGGCTCTGAGCTTTCTTCTCTGAAACCAGTGGTAAAAAGGACATGGGACTGGTTAGCTGGTTCAGCAGAATGCATGAGGCAGAAACAAATCAGAGCTTGGAAAAGGCAGGGCTGCTCCTCATCCTGAGACTCGCCTCTCAAGAGTCCTTGTGAAGAGCCCTGCGAGTTTTTTTGTGTTGTTGTTTTTTGGGGGGGGAGGGGGCACCTGGATATGAACCAGAGCCCCGCGAGTTTAACAGGGAATGAATGCTCTTCCTGTTCACGCAGGTGAGGGCTATACAGCTGCTTCTTATCAACCCAGCAAGGGCTTAACACAGTGGTTCTCAACCTTGGCTGCACATTAGAATCACCTGAGAATCTTTTTAAAATTCTCGAATGAGGCCCAGAAATCAGGATTTTAAAAAGATTCCCAGGTGTTTCTAATGTGCAGCCAAGGTTGAGAACCACTGGCTTAACATAATCACCAACATAGCAACAGCAGCAGGTACGCTGGGTTGATTAGGTACCACAACACTATACAAAGCACTCTGCCTACCTTATGTGACATGATACACCCAATGACCCTATCAGGGGACCAGCTGACCAGCTCCAGGCGTGGAAGCCTTTCGTTCTCAGGGGCCCAAATAGCCCCACAGGTACACCTATCTGCTTTCTTCCTCCCTGAGCTGTGGAACACCCTGATGTGCCCTGATCTGACCACACAGAACCTGCCCCCTGGTTCCTGCCCGGCCCTCCCCAAACCCCAGGGCATGGCATCCAGTCTTCGTCTACATTTCCATTTGCTCCTGACTCAAGCTAGCCCCCCAAAGCTCCACTCGGCAGCTGCAGTGTCTCGCCCCTCAGAGAACTGCTTTTATTAACCTTCGCCTGGAACATGAGGGTGCTGTCCACACCAAGGATTATGAAAGTGGCATCATGACATGTTTATGTTGAAGATCAAGGACTCCGTCTCCTCCACTCCAGAGATCTCACAGGAGGAGGCCTGTAAGTCTCAGGAAACAGTGTTTAATGACTCCTCTGCCTTTATCTTACACACAAGATCCTAGCTCACTATGTGTGGTATGTCAGAAGCTCAGTGGCAAACTGCCCACCAGTGATCTGGGCGCATACCTGCAGCAAGTTGCTTCCGGAGTCGGGGCAGAAGGAATGGCGGGTTCGCGAGGACAAGCTTCCCGATGCATTCAGCCACTACCCCCCGGGTGCCCTCCTCGGCACCCTCGCAGCGCTGGAACAGCAGGGCCCAGATGTCCTCGGCGTAGGGCTTTAGGCTGTCAGGCTGGGCAGCCCCCAGGGCCTCCCTGAGCGACTGCAGCAGCAGGTACTGCCGCCTGGGCTCGGCCTCTATCTGTCCCAGCAGGAAGGGCAAAAAATCGGGCAGGTTCCCAGCGCCCACACGGCCTAGTGCATAGGAGGCTGCAGCCCTCACGTCCTCACTGGGTGACCCTAAGGCTTCCAGGAGCACAGCCTTCAGCTCCCGCTGGGGGCCAGGCCCGGCCACCTGGCCCACCTCAGCCAGCGACAAGAATGCCAGGACCTTGACCCCCGTGCTGGAGTTGTGTGACCTGGCATCGCAGACCAGGCGGTTTGCTGTGCCGGCTGCCTCCTGGGGACAGGCAGCTGTGAGGGCTGCCACGCACCGAGCCAGAGAATGGAACACCTGCTTGTGCAGGCCCGGCCCACTGTCCCCAGCCTGGTCGTAAACAGGCGCAGTGAGCAGGCCCATGAGCTTGGCGTAGTCCACACACGGGGGCCGGGTCCCCACCAGAGCCTGCAAGAAGCCTTGGGCAGCTGCCAGCACACCTGCTGGCAACAGGGGCGAATGCAGCAACTGCAGCAGCTCTGAGAGCACAGGGCCACTGACCTCAGCCAAAGAGGCTGGCTGGGCCTGGGTCACTGTGGTTAGAAAGTCTACAGCCAGCTGGGCCACATGCATGTCACTCTCGCTGACCAGGGCAGGCAGCTCCGCCAACACCACCCGAACAGCAGATGGAGGGAGGCTGAGTCCCTGGCTCTGGGCCAGGGCGTCCAGGGCAGCCAGTGTGGCGAGCCGTAGCGCCCGCTGGTTCTTGCGCAGGAATGAGGCCAGTATGGGCAGTGACTCGGCCAGGATGGGCTGCAGGTCAAGCTGCAGCGGGGACACAGCCACGAGTGTCAGGGCCTTGACAGCAGGCAGCCGGGTGATCTCATTTCGCAGGCGGTCCAGGAGGAGCAACAGCGACGGCTGCAGGTCATCCCCCAGCCGGTCACCCAGGTGGCCCACCAGGTGGCCCATGCAGGAGATGGCCCGCTCCTTCACCTCCTGGTCCAGGTCGGTGGCACGGAGCCGTGCCAGGGTGGCTGCAGACATCTCTCCAACATACGGCTCGGGGTCCAGCGTCCGAGGCCTGTCCAGGGGCCACAGGGCCCGCACCAGCTCCTGCAGCACCAGCAGGGCCTCGGCTGCGATCTTGTAGAAAGGGTCAGACACACAGGCCATGACCGGAGGCAGGAGGGTGGGCAGGTGTGGGTGGAAGGCCTCGGCGGGCTCTGTGCCCAGCAGCCCCTGCAGGAACGCCAGGGCATCCATCCGGATGGTGGAGGAGTTCGAGCGGTCCGCCAGTGAGAAGACGATGCCTGCGGGATGGGTGCAAAAATTATGGGCCACAGACCCTGAGCCAGCACAGTCCTCCCTGGGTGCGAGGGCGGAACACCCACAGGTTGTTTGAGCTGGATGGCTCTGAGGCAGCAGATTCTAAGAGGCCAGGGTTTGGCTGGGGCCAGGGCTGAGGGACACAAGGCCATCTGAAACCAGGAGGTAGGGCCTGCACTCCAGCCTTGTTCTCACTGCTGGCAATGGGGAGCCACTGTATGCTGCTGAGTAGGGTAGGGGCACCCTCAAGGATTGGGGGCCAGATTCTGGAAGAGGCCCAGGACAGCAGATACCAGGTTCCAGTCCATCCTACCTGCTACCAGCACAGGCATGTGCTCTGCCAGGCTGCCAGGGAGGATGCCCGCCAGCTCAGTGAGGAGGCTGAAGCATCCCTGGCGGACCCTGACACTCCGATCTTTCAGCTGCCGTTGCAGGGCCTTGATCACAAGGGGCACCTGTGGGCAAGTGAGGGGAGGTCAGTGACCACCCAGAGAGCTTCCACACCCCAACTCCTGAGGGGCTTTGCTGGGTGCCCATTGGGGACCCCACGTGGAGAGGATCGCTCCATCTCAACCTTTTCATCACTCGCTCTGTACCGGACACCTGATTCTACACTCAGACCTTCTGAAGTAGGTACTACACCTCGGCCCACCTTCCAGATGGAGAAGTAGGTACAGAGAGATTAAGTAACTTGCTCAAAATGACACGGGCAGTCTGGCTCTCACCCCTGCACTCCAAGGGCCCATTCTCTTCCCCAGCTGGGTTCTCCCCAGATGAGCTCATCTGCTCCCCAAGCTTCAGATGCCAGCACACAATGACACCCGATCTACACTGTCAACGCCAGACTTGAGTGCTGACTGCCCACCTGATGTCTCCGTTTGAACATCCGAGAATCTCGAACATAAATGTCCAGAACAGAACTCTGGACATCGCCCTCTTCATGTTCTGCCACCTCAGGGGACCGCACTCCATGCTTCAGCCAGAGCCTAGAACTCACATGCCACCTCCCTGTCCCTTCCCCCACAGCCACTCTATCAGCAAGACCCCAAAACTGTGTGGTCCAAGGGCAGGGCTTTTACTAGTATTTGTCCTGTTCCCCGCTGTGCCCCAGCCTGATGCACAGAACCGGGCACACAGTGGGTGCTCAATATGCACACGTCAGTGGACGGATAGATGGTGGGGTGTGTGGATGGATGGAAGGGCTGTGAGAAGGTGGGAGGGTAAGTTGTGAGAGGGGGTGGGAGGGGGAGAGAGGTGAAGGTGCGCCCACCTGTTCTCGCAGCATGTGGAGGCTGCTGCCAGTCTGCGTAGGCTCCTCAACGGCCTCCACCCATCCCTTCGGGGGCCGCGTTTGCCGAAGCAGCACGATGTAGGCCCCAAAGACATCAGCCTTGACATTCTCCTCACGCTCCCTGAAGCGGCGGATGAGCGCTGGCGCCAAGGTGCGGTGGAAGGTGGGTAGCAGGTCAGGCCGAGAGCTGATCAAGGCTGCCATGCACTTGGCGGCTGCCCGGCGCACCTTCCAGCTCATGTCATCGTCGTCACTGTACTCGTCCTCACTCTCTGGGGCAGGAACCAGACACCCATGGAGCCCCGCACTCTGTAGCAGATGGACAGGGAGCGCCTGCCCCACCCAGGTGGTCTCCCAGGATGGAGAGGTGAGGAGGGAGCCAAGCCCGTGTTTCACCTTTTGATGATCATTACTTACACAGTATAGGGGTGGGCAAAAGTAGGGTTGCAGTTGTGAGTACATGAAACACAGAGCGTATTCTTGCATTATTGTTTATTAATTATTGTATTTTCCATATGAACAACTGTAAGCCTACTTTTGCCTACCCCCACAATAGGAATGTTACCTACCATTTAATGAACACCTACTGTGTGCTGGGGATGGCACCAAGCACGTCAAATCCACAACCTCATTTTAGCCTCACAACGACCTTGTGAGACAGGGATTACTTTCCCACTGTAGAGATGAGAAAATTGGGGGTCAAAGGGAAGTGATTGGCCCCAACTTACACGAGCAGGGAAATAGCTGGAATTAAATCAAAGTTCTCCTCCTGCCTCCATACTCTTCCCTAGTTTGACTGCACCAGGGAAAAAAAACTGACTTCCAAGTCTTTAATGAGGACCTAGAGAATCCATTTGGGGCACAAAACCCATCCTTTGGTTTCAGGACTGGCTGTGTGATGTTTCATTTATGGGGATTCCAGAAGGAAGAGGTAAAATAGGGCCTCCTTTTGCATTGCCCCACCCTACCCTGCCCCAGCCTCTCAAGGGTGCTGATTGCTTGGCTTCTAAGCAAGAAATGCTCTGTTTGTGTGGTTTCCTACAGACAGCTCCCCTGAGAGGCCAGAGCCCACACAGTGCCTGGAACCCCATTTTATAGATGAAGAGATGTCTAGAATAAAGATCAGAGATGGTGAGAGCCTCTCCTGAGGGCACACAGCTAGGCAACAGGATAGCTGAGATTCAGGCCCACGAGGCCCACCTATAACACCTGTGGAGACACCCAAGGCTCAGAGGGGGATGGTCCTAGTCACAGGCTCAGAGGCCACAGTGTTCTTACCCACGCTGCTCTGTTGAAGACTCAGACTCTCAGAGCTGGCATCTGGACAAGCCAGCTTGTCCCATGGGATGGTCGCATGGGTGCAACCTGGCAGCTTAGCAGATGTCCCCTCTGAAGGACCACTATTTGTTACCTCCACCCTGTGCCACCCATGAAGAAATTTCCACAGCTCCCTGTGACTGACAAGAAAATGCCCGATCTCCCTGGCTTGGTATTCGAGGCCCCAACATGCCTGTCCAATCTCGTCTCCCACCATCCCATCTCATTCCAAGTACCCCATCAGACCCCAAATCCCTTGCCTCCATTGATGTCCTGCTTTGAGAACACAAGAGGCACCCATCTGAGTGACAAACTGGATCACAGACACAGAAGGAAAGTAGCCACTGAGTTCATTCCCCATCCAGGTATCATTCTACCATTCGAGCTTCACTCTGCTGGGTTAAACATTACCTCTTGGAAGCCATGACTAAAAGGGTAGCGATGGCAGTGTAGAGGTCAAGAGGTCTTTCGGACATGGCTCCAAGTCCCAGCTATGCCACTTCCTAGCTGTGTTACCTCAGAGCTGTGTTATCTCAGGCAAATCACTTCTCACAGTCTGTTTCCTTGTCTTAAATACGGGGCTAATAACGAACACCTGGTTTTCTAGGGTTACTGTAAGGAACCTGAAATAAGAGAGTGCTCCGGACACCAGGAGATGCTCAATAAATGTTAGTGATTACTGCTACCCTTACCGTGCAGTCAGAAAGGATGGGGACAGTGGAGAATCCAGATTATGGAAGGCAGGGCTGGAGCCCGAGGAACAGCTGGGATCAGGATAAGGGCACTATATGTGGCCCATCTTTGGCTGGAGAAGGGGGTCCCAGGAAGGCTGCACTCATTTCCACCCTCCTCAAGTTGGTCACCCACCTTGCTCACTGAATTCACTATCCTCCGTCTCCATCTGCTCCTCATCCCCGTCACTGTCATAGTTATAGTTGGGGTCATGCTTCATGTACTGGAGGCACAGGCTGGTTACATTGGGCACGTGAGGGCCCATCTCCTTGGGGCACCTGTGGGGTGGGAGAGGGAGGCTCTGGTGGACCCGGGCAGGACAGGGTAGGCAGTGGGGCCCAGTGATGAGTCCTGAGATCTTACTGCTCTGAGGTCAGCATCCTGCCCCCAACCCTGCCCCACCAACTTCCCAAAGAAACTCTGGGGCCCCCATCGTCCAGCATCCCACTGCACCTACTTCCTCAGGAAGGCTTCGAAGGCCTGGAGGCAGGACTCCCGGAGCTCATCGTCATCCAGGTTGCAGAACTCCTCCACCAGAGGCACCAAGCGGTCCAGGTGGGCCCCTGTAAGGCCAGGTGGGTCACTGAGGACAGGCCAGAACCTCTCTCAGGCTCTCCTAGCCCACAGCACTCAGTCTGTCCCTGCACCTGCATCCCTGGCCACTGCAAACCCAACCCAGAGGCTTCAGAGTCAAGCAGATGTGGGTTCTAGCTCTGACTCTGCCACCTATGGGCTCTGGGAGCCTGGGCACGTCACAACACTTCTCTGACCTTGGTCTACTCATCTTCACAGTAGAGATAACAATGCCTACCAGATAGAGATTTTGTGAAGATTAATATGATGCAGATAAAGAGCTTCGCCCAGGTCCTGGCACACAGTAGGCGCTCAATAAGTAGCGCCTGATGTTGAAATGATTACATGTCCTTGCCTTATTTCCTGTACTAGGATGTAGCCCTGGGTGGAAAAAGGGGAGAAGCAGGTACTGCCCTTAGAGACCAGACAAGAGGGGCCCTTGCCTGATCCCTGGGCTTTAGAGGGTCCCCCCCCCCCTAGCCCTTCTCCAGCGACACCCTCCCCCACTTTCCTGCCCACCTGACCCTGAACCTTTGTCTGGGTCCTGTGCAGGCCTCCTTCCCGGGTCCATGCTCCCAAGAGTGGCCACAGGGTGGCTGCAGTTTGTCGTGAGAGGGTGGAGAAGAGAAGGGCGGGAGTAGAGAGTGTGGACTGCGGGCTGGGGTCCCCAGGTGTGCATAAGGCCGCTCTCAGGGAGAGAGCCAGAGGGAAGGGAGGGGCAGACCATGGCTAACTCTACCCACACTGACTTTTTCTAGCCCGGAACTCCAAGGCGTTTGATAATAAATTCAAACCTGATTACAGGATTCCATTTCCATAAAATTAATTTATGGTCGCAGAAAACAGATCTGTGGTTGCCCCGGGGGGGGGGGGGGGACGCCTAAGGAAGAGATGGACCACAAAGGGGCACAAGGAAACGTTTGGGAGTAATGGGAATGTTCTGCATCTTGACTGTGGTAGTTCCATGGGCGGACCCAAAGGCGGAAACACACTGAATGGTGCACTTAAACAGTGTGCTTTATTGTACGTATAGTCTCCCAATAAAACTTCAAAAATCCAAACCTGGCTTGCAGGTTGTTATGAAGGTATAGTTGTCAAAATAAGAAGATAGAAGTATTTTACTTTTTAAATTTTTAGTATATGTGCTGCCAAAGCGAGCACTTATTTATTTTTAAAACATTTTATTTAAGTTTGGTGAAATGATTTCTAATTATCTGAGGCTCAGAAGCAGATGGCTCTCAGGGCCCACTCTCCCAAATTATTAACCCCACCCCCTTCTAGAGGTGGCCCGCCCCAGGCTCCGCCCCCTCGGCCCGGGGCCTTGCTCCGTGCCCCAACACCTACTCGCCTAGACCCCGCCTCCTTGCCCAGGAGCCCAGCTCCCTTACCCAGGCGGTGGCCTGCCTGGCGGCCTACGCTGCCCAAACACTGGATCAGGGTGCGGATGGCAGCGGGGCTGGCGGGTGCGCGTGGGCCCGGCAGCCGGTCCAGCAGGTGATCGGCGAGCTCGACGAAGAGGTCGGTGCTGCAGGCGGCCGCCAGGTGGCCCAGTGCCCCGACAGCTCGCTTGCGCACGGCCAGGCGTGGACTGCTCAGCTGAGGCAGGAGGCAGTGCAGGAGGCTGGCGTGGAAGGCACCGAGGGGGGGGCCCAGCCTGGGGAGCCGGAAGGGGCGTCAGGCCGGCCCACTGGGTAAGCACCTGAGCCAGGCACCTCATCACTCCCCATCCTCTCCTGGCCTGCTCCCAGGAATTGAACAACCCAATTGCCCCTGTTAAATGGAAAGGCACCCTGCAACTGTGTGGTGTGATTATTTATTATTACTACGTAAAGAAAGCAGAGCAGGGAAGGGACTTTCTCGAGGCTACCCAGCCAAGAAATGCAAGGCCAGAACTTGAACCCAGATGTCCGGCTCCCGGCTTGGGAAGAAGACACAATGGTAATAGGTATGGGGGCTACAGTGAGGCTGCCCTGATTTCCCCGGAGTCTGGGCCTTGCCTCAGTGTCCATCCCCCCACACTGAGACCAGAGTAGTCTAAAACCCACTCCTCTGCTATCTCCCTCAAGCTCCTTCAATGGCTCCCCAGTGCCCTTTGAAACAGCTGAGCTCTGAGCTCAAGGCGAGAGGCAACACAAGAGAACGGTAGAAGGCAGCCCCTGCCCACCTTAGCAGCTTCTATCCTCACCTTTCGACCACGCTTGTGCACTTTCTGTCCTAAGACCTTTTCTTCTTTCACTCTACACTAGCACATTGACCTCACCTTCCCATATCTCTCCATCCAGCCCAGACCTCTCGTCTGGGTTTCACTTATTTATGTGTTTATCTATGTGATAGGGCCTGTGCTGGGGGCTCAGGTGAGCAAGGTAGATTCTGCCTTTAGAACCTGCCCTATGGAGTTTCCAGTTGAGTGGGGGCCTCCCAGGTACCTCAACCTCAACATGCCCCAAGGTGAATCCATCACCTTCTTCCCCACACCTGTTCTTGTTCCCAGAGGGCATCCACCACAGCAGTGGCCCTGGGTCTGTGCACCCTGGTGGTAAAGCCAGACCCCTGGGCATCATTCTTGAGTCTCTCTCACCCACTCCAAGCCCTGTGGAGTCTACTTCCAAAATACAACCAGAATTCACCTGCCTGCAGAAGCCTCCAAACCAGTCTCCCTACCTATTCCACCCCCTCCCATCTACCGTGCACACTGAAAATAGGATGATCAGTCTAAAACTCACAAATTCCACATGGCATTCCTCGGCCCCTGCCAGCAGACCCTCCCCGGGCTCCTTACACCTTCAGTATGATTGTTACCTCACCCACCTCCAGCCCTCAGGCCTCATCTCTCCACATCGCCCTCTCCAGCCCATGGATGCCTTGCATAACCCTGGGACCTCATGTCTTCTCCTGCCTCTGCTCTCTGGGCCAAGGGCAGTCTCCTCTTCTAGTGCCCCCCTTGTGCCCGCCCATGCCTAGCCAAGTCCTGCCCATTCTTTTTTTTTTTCCTGCCCATTCTTGAAGGCTTATCTACCAAGACCCTCTCTAGGAAGGGACCCCACCCTCCACCTGGGTTAGGGTCTCCTCCCCTGAGCTCCTACAAGCCCTGCTCTTATCCTTACTGGTGTTCTTACTCTACTCACAGTTGATGTGTCTGTGAGCTCCTTTCTAGGAAGGACCAAGACTGAGCCACTCCACATTCACAGAACTAGCCCAGCATCTGACATTTCTCTGGCCACAAAGGAGTTGCTCAAATCTTGGGAGGTTGAGTGAGTGAATGCTTAAAAATGTGCAGTACAATTTAAAACAAGGGCCCGGCTATATTAGCTCAAAAGAAGAAAGAAAGAAAAAGAAGAGGGTGAGGAAGAGGAACACACCTGGGCTTCAGCTATGGAGAGACCTGAGTTCAAATCCTAGGTTCTGCCATTTACTGAGAGTGTGACTTCGGGCAGGTCACCACACCTCTCACAGCCTATAACATTGTGACAAACGAGTTCTCCTTTGCAGGACTGCAGGGCTGATTAAGGAGCCCTGAGCACAGGGCCTGGAGTGCAGAAGGCGCTGGCTCTGTGGATTTAAATCCTTCCCTGTCCCCTTTGCTCCCCCTCCTACCCCGATCCTTCTTGCCCGGGGTGGCCTCCTGCACCTGCTCAGCATGTCAGAGAGGATGTCCAGGGCTTCCAGCTGCACGGCCACGTCCTCCTGCTGGGCAATGGCACTGGTGAGCTGGCCGGTAATCTTCCGGCACACATTGGTGGCCAGGCCGGAGCCTGCACAGAGCACAAGATGGGCATGGTGAGTTGCAGAGCTGGCCTCTACCTCTGGTCAGCCTTTGATCTGCTGACCCAGGAAAGCCAGGGCCTGAGCGGTCCCATGCTTGACCCAAAGTCCTGACACTCAGGGAGCTAGAATTGATGGCCAACCCCTCCTTCCACCAGGGTGAAGGGAAAAGTTAAGCATTTCCTTTCCTGGACTCCCTTACCGCTAGGAGGGGCCAGATGACCCCATTCTGGGGGGTTCTAGGGAGACACATGTTTTTCTTATAAAGGGCAAGAGACTTGGACAGAGACTCAACTCTGTCCTACTTGAGCTGCTAAATGAATTGCTGCAAAAATGGAACTGCTGACCCTCTACTTCTTTAAGATGCCCACGAGTTATATTTTGTAACTTGCAGCTAAAAGCATTCCTGACACCGAGCCATGAACTTAAGTAGACAGGGATCTGAATTCTCTGCCACTGACTACCTGGTTGACCTTACATAAGTCCCTTCACCTCTCTGAGCCTCAGTTTCTTTAACCGTAAACTAGGACAAATAATTAGAGTACCTAGTCCCTGGGACCTGGGTACCTGTGGCTGCTGGGGGTAACTCCGACAGGACAGTCTTGAGGCCGATGCCAGCAATATCACGGAGCTGCTCCTTGTCTGACCGCATGTTGGCACAGAGAGCGTCCACAATGGTCTCCACCTGGTACTCCTTCACTTTGCCCACCAGAGGACCCAAGCTGACAGGGAGGGAAGGCGGGACGGAGGGAGGGGGTTCAAAAGCCCCAGGCTCAGCCCGAGTCAGGATGCCCCTTATGTTCCCTCAAGCCAAGTCACTGTCCAACTCCACTGGGACTCCAAGAGCTGCTTAGCAATTCTTCTTTCAGAGACTGTACCCCAAAGGGGCAGGGGCCCCGGGGAGCTCCCCCAATAGGGGAGCATAGCCAGACGGTGCCTCCCTGTCCCCCCACAAGGCCGACACTCACCACTTGACTGCCAGGTTCTGCACCTCGCCATTCTTGTCCTCTAGGAGCTTAAGCAGCATCTTTACCACCTTGCGCTCGCTGTCCTCATCCAGCTGGATGGAATCCTTCTGCAGCTCTGACATCAGGTCACTGGTGGCCATGAACCTGGGCAGGGAGGGCAGAGGAGGATTTTCAAGCAGCTCCTGGGCCCCAGAGATTTGGGAAGTTCTTAGAGTTCTCCCAGAAGCAGACCTTGGTACACAGATTCAAGGGAAAGTAAGTTATCCAGGATGTGGACACAGTCAGGCTCCCACAAGAAGACCCGTGTGTGAGAGACACCAACTGCACATTGGGGCTGACCAGGAGTGGCAGCACAGAGCACGCTAGCTAAATGCTTAGGGTCTCGAGGCGGGAGAGGTTCTCGCCTCTGCCATTTAAACAAATGTGAACTTGGACAAACCACTTCACATTGCCGAGCCTTAGTTTACCTGTCTGAAAAATGGGGATGAGAATAGTGTTTGCCTCAATGGGTTGTATGGAAGATAAAATGAGATAATGCATGTGATGTGCTTAGCACACAGTTGAGAACTCAGGACAAGAACACTCAGTAAGTGGCACTGCCATTATTATAAAGACACAGTACATCATTCACATCTCATTCATGCTAGAAAGTTGAACAGACACCTTTCAACTAAGTCAGGTGTCAGCAAGAAGGCTCTCTACCAGACAGGTGGAAGGGGCTACCCCTGCCCACTTCCACTGCAGCCCCTGCCCTCAGACCAGTGGTTCTCAAACTGTAGCCAGCCTGAGAACCACCTGCAGGCTGTCCAACACCGCTGGGCCCCACCCCAGGGTTTCGGAATCAGTAGGTCTGAGCTGAGGCATTTCTAACAAGTCCCTGGATGATGCTGAGGGGCAGAGACCACATTCTGAGAATCACGACCCTTGGCCATGCTGAGGGGCCCGAGCATGTCTTAGACACTGATGTCAACAGCTGACCAACCCCCAGCTGTGGCTCCTGACCTAGGTGGTCCTCGGAGTCAAGGGCTACCCACCCCCAGGTGGGCAGATTCGTGTGGCCTGATGCCCTGTTCAGGGCATTTGAACGTGCAGAGGCAGATTGAGCTGGACGTCATGGAGAGTTGGGCTGCAGGGGGCACTGTGGAGCACCATTCCTGCCAAGATTCAGAAAGGAGGGCAGAGTCTTCAACCGGCAGCCCTCAGCTGTGTCCACCTTGCAAATGTTTGGGAGAGTTGACATAAATGTAATGATTTCCAGATTCTCTTGAAAACAGAATATTTGAATACAACTGGGCCTGCTGTCCCTGGTGACAATAACCGGCTCTAGCCAAGTCATGGCTGCCCTCTTTCGGTGGGAGACACGCGCTCCAGGCCACCAGGTTCCCATCAGGCCCACTCCACCTGCTCACAGGCTCTGGCAGGCACTTGAGAGTGGACATTAGAGGAGAAAGCAGGTCAGAGCAGCAAGGAGAGATGCCATGAAGTCGGGACCAAAGAGTGGTGGCTCCAGGAAGCTTCCAGCTTTTGCTGACCCACCAGGCCACCCCTCACACCAGCCTTGCTTTCTGGCTTGAGCCAGTCAACCAACCAGCTCTGACAGCCCTCCCCCCCGCCTACACCCCTCCCCTGCAAAACTGGTCACAGTCCGCCTCATTTTTGCAGGCACAGACCTGCTGCTGGATGTCATGATGGCCCACACCATCCTGTTACCAGGAGGGCACCTGTCGCTGTCACAGCTGTATATTTTTAATGTTGGAATAAGCCTCAAGCTGCTGAGAGAAGGAAGGAGTGGCAGGGCTGACTGTGCCCACCTCTGGGCCTGGCCATCACAGGAGAAGCAGCCAAGATAAGGTGAAGGAAGAGGCTTGGGTCTGAGCCAGGCCAAGGCCTGGGTTAGGCACATGCACTCCAAGGTCTGTCCAGCTGAAGGGACATTCTCAGAAGGCAGGCAGGGTCTCTAAGCTGCATTTCTGCTGCAGTCCATGGAGAGCCAGCTCAGCCTGGCAACCCAAGGGATGTGCTCCTTTGCCCAAGATGGGCCTTCTGTCCCTTCTTTCTCCTCCACCTATTGAAAGCCTATTCATCTGTCAAGGGCCCAGCTCAAATCAGCCTCAGGGATGACTCCTCCAACCACTTGCCCTGTCCCCTTCCCCACACTCTCTCAGCACACTTGGTTCCTCTGGACAGGACCCCTCAGAACTGCGCCCGTCCATCACAGCACTTCTCACACTACACTGCACACTTGGTCACCCATGTGTCTCCCCCATTAAATTAGGAACTCACAGGGGCTTGTCAGTTTCATCTCTGGGACTCCAGGCCCAGCAAAGAACAGGTCCAAAGAGGGCCTGGAGTAGGGGGCGGTGGGGAGGGCAGAATGAGGGCAGGAAGGGAGGAAGGTTAGATAGAGTCAGTCTCTAACAGGGCTTAATGCCAAACAGCTGTGTGAAAACCTGAACTCCGAAATCAACCCTTCTGAAATATGCCTCAGCATTGCAGACACCCCCACCCCAAGTTCCTGGAAACACTTAGCTCTCTGAGAGAGAAAGCTCTACTGTGTATATGTATGTGGTGGTGATAGTGGGGGTGTACAGGAAAGTGTTTAATATGGTAGATAAGAGCTTGAGCACCAAAGTTTGGCTTTAAGAAAATACACTGGTCTTGTCACTTATCAACTGGGTGACTCCTCTCTGAGTCCCGCTTTTTCCATCTAAAATATGAGAATTTTCTTTGCCCTACTTCATAACATCCTTGGGAGGTATTAAGAAGGCAATGAGTTCTTAGCAGACGAGGAATCTTGGCTCAGAGAGGTTGCAGGAACTGCCCAATGTCACACAGCAAGTTGGGAGGAAAATCAGCCCCACCAGTCAGTTCCCCTGGATCCTCAACCAATACCATTGTGTTTTCAAGAAATGATGTGGGGATTCCTGCCAGACACCCGCCCCCCCCGCCCCGCCCCAGTTTACCCATTTCCCTGTTAGAGTCAGAGTGGGAACGGGGCAGCCTCCTGCCCACAGAGTGGGGGCCCAGGGATAACAGGGACCAAAGACTCCCTCCACCCTGCCGGGGGACCTCCATCTGCAGTCACCGCTTGCCTCCAGGACCCAGAGGACACAGTCTCAGTTTCATTCCAGAGAAACCTTAGAGGAGACTCAGCGGAAACACTCAGCCACATGGGTGCCTGGACAGCTGGTCAGCAGGACCCGGCCTCTCTGGTATTTGGATTTTAAAAATAGACACCATCCTCTTATGCTTGAGTAGTTTTAAATGTTCTCAGGGCCACTGGCAGAGCAGTCTGAAGGGGCTTCCTAGGCTCTAGGAGGCAGGACCAACCCCTCCTGGAGACCAGACCTAAGGTTCTAGAAACGGTGGTACAAATCCCCTCGGCTGTGTGACCGCAGGCCAGTCACTTCACCTCTCCAAGCCTTTGGAGAACAGGAAGAGCAATCAGCATCACCCAGGTGGGCAGGTGGACTGATGGGATGACACTGCAGAGCAGGGCAGGGAGCCTGGGACACAGAAAATATTCACTGAGCACCTACTGGGTACAAAAAACAGGTTCTGGGACGGAAAAAGGAAGCTCCCAGTTTGGTGGTCCAGGAGCCCTGGGTCTCCCGAGGCTAAGAAGTGACATGGCAGAAACATGGGCAGAAGAGGTGTGGGAGCTCAGGGGAGGTGCTCAAACCTGCCTGGGTGTCAGGAGGCATCCCAAACAGGTGACGACTGAGTAGGAGCTAGCCAGGTGAAGGGGGGAAATGAGGACGGGGAACAGAACTTCCAGGGAAAGGCCCAGAATGGGGAGAGGGCATGGCAGCTTTCTGACAGGCACCAAATCATGGATCCATCTATTAAGTGCTTACCCGGTGCCAGCCACTAATCTAAACATTCCACGTGCATTAACTCACTTCATCCTCACACCAACCCTCGGAGGTGGGTTCTATTAATATCCGCATTTATAGAAACAGAAGCTGAGGTTCATGATGGGTTAAGCAGCCTGTCCATGGTCACACAGCCAGTAAATGGTTGGGGCCCGGATCTAAAGCCAGAACTGTGGCTCAAAGGCTCTGCTAAAGCTATCGTAGAGGCTCTTGAGGGGTGTTGAGGAATGGGTTTCAGTAAAGGGCAGAGGGGTCAATCTCCTCACCAGTCAGGGGGCTGGAATCAGACGGCCTGTTAAGATCTCAGCCTTTGTGTTTTGGACTTCGAGTCCACTTCCTAGCTCTGTGACTGCACCTAGGCCCTTCGTGCCTCTGGACCTCGGTTTTCCTATCTGTAGAATGGGGATAAAGTGATAGAATGTTCAACAAGTGGGTGCAGCTATATTGGTCTCTGCAGGCTCCTTTCAGCTCAGAGGGTCCAGAACTGGCTGTGTGACCATGGCACACACATCCCTTCACCTCCCTGGACCTCAGTCTCACCCATTCCCCCAGGATGAGGGGGCTGGACCAGAGGTTTTTTCCATTCTTTTCAGCTCTGTTCCTGTGTGGCTCCGTGATGCTGGGGGAAGGAGGAAGAAGAGGAGTGGGCACACAAAACCCAGAATCCTCCACCCTAACCATCATCTATCTGTGCCTGCAAAGCCACTCAGCTCAGTCTCTCCCTTCAAGCTGTGTCAAAGAAGACCAGGGAAGGGAGGGGATGAGATGGGAAAGGGCGCCCTGATGGGCAGGGAGAAAGCCTGGAGTGATATGGGGAAGAGCGAAGAGGGAGGGTGCTGAGGTTATCAGTGAAAAAGTCAACCCCGGGCCCTAACTGGTTTGGCTCAGTGTATAGAGCGTTGGCCTGCGGACTGAAGGGTCCCAGGTTCAATACCGGTCAAGGGCATATGCCTTGGTTGCGGGCACATCCTCGGTAGGAAGTGTGCAGGAGGCAGCTGATCAATGTTTCTAACTCCCTCTCCCTCTCCCTCTCCCTTTCTCTCTGTAAAAAATCAATAAAATATACCTTTTTTTAAAAAAAGTCAACCCCGGTGTGATCCCGGGAAGGGGCCGGGTTTCGATGCAGGAAAGAACAGGCAGCGCTAGGCTCCCTCGCTTCTCTGTGGGAGCATCCAATGCGGGGCGCGGCGAGGGCTGGGCAGAGGTGCAGAGAGCGGAGGCAGAGGTGCAGAGCAGAGGCAGAGGACGGGTGCAGCGGGGGAGCTGGGGCTTCAATGGGGGACAGGGGGCAGGGGCTGAAGTTTGCACGGCGGGAGGTGAAGCAGGGATTAGAGTCACACGCCGGTGGGGGCGTTGAGGGGGGAGAGGTGCGGG